TTTTTCTAAATCTGCTTTGCTTTCTGTCAAAAGGGTGGTATCATCTGCATATCTTATATTATTAATAGTTTCGCCTCCAATCTTGATACCAATGGACTCTTCATTTGTAGTAACCATTCTCATGATATATTCAGTATATAAGTTAAACAGATATGGAGACAAAATGCAGCCTTGTCGCACCCCTTTCTCAATTTTAAAGCATTCAGTTTCTCCGTATAGAGTTCTTACTTTTGCTTCTTGTTCATTGTAAAGACTCATCAATAAAGATATAAGGTGTTCAGGAATTCCCATGCTCCTGAGTGCTTTCCATAACTTGGAGTGATCCACACAATCGAAGGCTTTACTATAGTCTATAAAACAAAAGAAGGCGTCTTTCTGGTTCCAGTAATGAGTTTTACTGGAAAGGATTTCCGAATATAGGTGGTCAATCCCCCGCCTGTGCCATTGACTCTGTGAGTGTAGAAAGAGTTGCATCCGTGAAAATCCGCACGGAGTTAGCTGGAAGTCTTGTTTCTTGTAAAACAATAATATCGTAAGGATCCCAAGACGAAGACAATCTTATATATTTATATATTAGAGTGCTTCTGTCCTACTGAATTTTTAATTATATTGAGTTAATCAGAGACAATTAATTATGAAAATATTTATTAAATAAACATAAATCTAAATTAAATTAACATATTTTTATAATATTTATTCGAAGATATGCGCTGTTACAAAACCATTATTCACATATTATTTGTGTTTAGTTTATAATTTTAAAACAATTTTGACCTTTTGAATTATTTTATTCACAAGATAAATGAAAGTTCAAATTTCTTCTTTGGTCTGCAGTCAGATATTATGTTAAAAAGTTGTATAGCGACCGTATTGGACTTTTTACAGTAAATGTTTTAAAAATTTTTTAAAAGTAACTCATGCTTATAATTAAATTTTTATAACATTTAAGAACTATGTAACTTATTCTTAAGTTATAAATAATTTTTACTGAAAACAAAATAATATTTTTCTTAAAAATTAAAGAGATTGTTATGCGCTAATGAGATCATACTAGAAAAATATCCTTTGACCTATCCTTGCTGCACATTTAAAATACTTTTTTGTCCATTATTCAGTCATTCGAAACTATACAATTTTTAATTAGAGCTTGTTACTGGAACCATAAAAATCTCAACTCGATACAATGTATAACTTATTCTGTAATACAGTATTTATATGTTCCTATACCTAACTATTGTATCGATAATAATTTTAAAATTTCAATTTTTAGAGTGAAAATGGCAGGCGGGGTCGAGGAAATTCGTGAATTTTCTTGTGTATTTCCTGTCCTATTTTTATATTATTTTAGATTCGTGGATTCAGCGCGTTAAGTCACGTTATCTTTTGGTGCGATCGCGTGAACGATGGCTGTAGACGCATCCGGGGAGTATTTAATTTTCTGTACCAGTAGCGGGCACGATAACAATAATTAGGCTATCTCGACAGCATCGTATCTGATTTTTTTCTTTTGGAAAAATTTTAATAATATTTTTTTACCTAGCGCTTGTTCTAAAAAAATCGATGAAATAACGACAATGATTGATGGTTGCCGCCTTGTAATTTTTTATTCCATTATCGAGTTACTTGGACCGGAATGATCGCGCCTAAACCCACTGCAACTGGTAACGAGAAGTGCCACTGCACACAAAAATACTTAAGCTAACCTTGATGGAATAGTTAACGGCGCGTCGCGTCGCTTCAAGCGACGATGCGGTCATAATCATTATCGTTTGTTTTTTCTGTACAATACGGAAAACACTATAATAAATTCATGTTTATTTAAGAACTTAAATAATATTCGTAACGTGATCTGTTAACAAATGGCGTAAGTAACTAGCTTTGTGTAACATCGCACCACGCCTCTACTTAACTGTAATTACCATTTACTCATTTTCCTTAAAAATATTAACGTTTTATAAATTTTACCGACGTAAATGTTGTTTGACTTTACGTCTGAGTTAATAAAATCAATAACTTTTATCAAAGTTATAAAATCACGTTGAAGATAAACCCATTTGCCATTTTGATTACGCGCGCGTTCAACGCGACGCGAAAACGCGCGCCAAACAATAATGGCGATCGTGAACTGATACGGAACGAAAAAGAAATTAAATATTAAAGCTTCCTTTCTCTTGCTAATAATTTTGCTACATAATTTTTATCGTTAATTTCAGCTGTTAGGATGCGGGGTGATAGGATTTATGATGTGGATTCTCGCCACCTCTTCCACAGTTGGGATGTTTTTTACAGGAGCATTGGTTAGTAAAACACCTTTAACACATGACTTAGTGTTTTAAAAGTAAAGAATTATAATGTATAATTTTTATTTTTAGATATTTACATATGTTGTTTTGGGTTTTGGAACTCTTATTTTTATAGGAGGTTAGTTACATAATTTGTTTTAAATTTGAATATTTTATGTACTGATTAATAGAAGTTATGTTATAACAGGTCTTATTGGATGGATAGGATCTTATAGAAAAGGTGGATGTTTGATGAAGTTGGTATGTATAAAAGTATTCTTTTATATTAATAAATTATAGTTTTGGTTAATAATATTTATTTTATATGAATTTTTTTTAGTTTCTTCTTCTATCTGTTCTAACTATTGCCTGTGAAATTGGAGGTATTGTGGCTCTCTACATCATGAATGTAAAGGTAGGATGCTCTTCACTTGTTTGTTTTCTTTAACTTCTAGAAGTAAATTTAATTATTTTGGATTTTTTTTAGTTGGTCAAAGTATTAGGAATTGCTTGGAATGAAGTAAATCAGGATGCTAGAAATGTCCTACAAAGAGANGTGCATCATGAATTTTTTTCGACTGGCTGAACTGGTGACAAAAAATATTATTTGAGCATTTTGTATTGTTTGTATGAAACATTTTGTAGAAAACGACCAAATTTATGGCAAGAAAGCTCGTGGATTTTGCTCGTTAATAATATACCCACTCACAATGCTCTTGTTGTTGGTGAATTTTTGGCCAAAAATTAGTTCTGCAAACTTCATATTTACCCGATTTGGCACCATGTGATTTTTTCCTGTTCCTGGATTAAAAATATCTGCTTTGTGATCACCATTTTTTGTCAATTGAAACCATAAAAGAAAATTTGCTGCAAGTCCTGAAAGGATTTCACAAAAATGACTTTAAAGCATGTTTTGGGGATTGGAAAAAACATTGATATAAGTACTGTACAGTCCATTGCATTGGGAAGGGATTACTTTGAAGGGGATGAAATAAATTTTGATGAATAAATTCAAATCTTGTATTTTATTGAACCATTTCTGATACTTTTTTATCACAGGAGTATACAATAGTTGGTTGCCTAACAGGTTATACATTGAATATATATATATATATATATATATTTATTTTTTTTTACTTTCATAAATTTGCGATTTCTGAATTGATTTACACTAAAGTTAATCTCCCAGGATAATGGTTTTAGTAGTAATAAACCTTAATCTTATGTCTTGTAAACGTTGCAGGAGTAATTAAAATAAAATATATTTAAAAAAAAGAAAAAAAAATATAAATAACCTTCCACCCGGAATTAGTTTCTTCCATTATCTCACGCACTAGATCACCTGACGATTGTTCGACCAGATAACAAAATGGCGACTTTTTCTTAATTGTTTTACCATCAGCCATTAATATAATTGGATAAAAGTGTTAGTTTGGTATTTTTCTTTCGGGCGCTGATTATATTTAACGCTTCACTCAATTCACAATTCATGGCATTTATGTTTTTTCCCCCTTTACAAAAAAATAAATAAACAAAAAATAAAATATTTCTGTACAGGTTAATGTCGACATTTTTTTTAGGTTGTTCCGGTAACTATTTATCATCGCATGTAATTATATTACTATAAACTTATACAAAAAAAAATGCAAATATCATTAATTAAGCGCTACATCCGCACGTATTTATAAAGTTTTTCAAAGAAAACTTTAATAAAACTTTTAAAAAATCATTCCATATAAACTTGAGATTTTTTAATGTACATTGCTGTGTTCTATATCCAATACTCTACAGATAAACCAATATACTATGAAATTTTTGAAGTTTTAATCCTCTACGAATTTTTGATGATTTCACGCAATTTTATTAATTTACATTAAAATTTCTTTGTAATTTGTTGGTGCGGAGTTATTTTTATAAATTTAACCAAAAATATTCAGATTAAAATGATTAATTTTCACAGAAATCGTACATATAGTTGTGCTCGTAGATTTTTAAATCCGAAAGAATACATATCTGAATCCGATTAAATCGTAAATCGTGTAAATATTGTAAAAATTTGTAAATAATTCGTTTTAATAACTAATAAATTTATAATTGTAATTTTCTATTCTAAAAGTTGGCACCACCAAACTATTTTTTTTTATTTATGATGCCATGATAGGGTATAAAGTTTAAAGCGTTTTTTTATAATTAAAAAGATGGATAGAATTTCAAATTTTGTAAACAAAATAACCTGATTTGTTTACAGAATTAATAAAGTTTAAATCTACATTTATATTTTGTTAAGAATTCAGGTTAAAGTGGTGTAGACGACATTTTTTCCTGGTTGCATCGAACTATATAGGGACAAATTTTAACTTGTTCGCACTTTTAGCGAGTAGTTTAAGGAAATAAGAATAAAGAACTATAAATGCCAACAATGTCATCGTTTATCTTCCAATGCATCGTATAATTTGACCAGTTTACGAATTTAGAGTCACAAAACATGGTTTTACGACCCGATAGACCTGATTATTAACGATTGTTTTCAAGTTTAGAACTTGGCCAATAACTTGGCGTACTTATTCTTTGTTGAAGATATCCATTGCAAACGGTCACGGTCGAATATCGATACACAGCATTCCATTATTTATTATTCTTCGCTTCGCTCGATTAATTCCCCGCTGCTGGATCTAGTTTTAGTGTCAATATATAGAGAAAATAATCTATTTTTATTTTTAATAAAACAGCCGCTAGAGGGATTTTGTCGAAAATGACATCTAAGATTATATTTAATATCTAATTAATGAAATTAAATTGAGTTATACGTTCTAGATTTTATGCATAGCGAAGCTTCAGTGAGAAAATTAGGTTAAAATACACGCGATTTAGTTTAATAATTGAGAAATGTTCTTATTCAAATAAAGCAGTTTTTAAAATGAAAAGCGTGCATCGGGTTTCGTCGCCATCTTAGATGAAGCACGCCTCATTGCAAATTGACATTTACCGCGATTTTAATCACGCAACGCATCCGATTAGCGATTAAAGGCATTTAAGTGGGAGCGAAAAATCGATTTAAAACACCAAAAACAATATCAAGTGTTGTAAGAGAAGCGGAGGCGTCCCGGCGATGATCCGCGTCCGCGGGCGAATGAAGACAAGTCGTGAGGATGCGCGTGCGCGTCAGATAAGAAGGAAGTCGACGGTGTAGTCAATCTATAGTGTCATTCGCCAACAGTCGGAGGTGGCGAACGGGCGCGCATGCCATCCAACGGTTGAAACTCCCGCACGTGCGGGATTCTGGACCGGGTTCGGAGGTCGAAATGGGTTCTCTACGTACTTGCGCTCGACACTGCGTATGTTTCTTGGCCTTCATCACATGGGTAAGTCTTTCTTTCTGTGTTCAATAAAGTAACAACGGTAGAAATCCTCTGAGAGTGTTTACAATTTCGCTTTTTGTCATCGATTTTTTAGTGAAATATATTACCCCCGGGGCTTAGATCAAGATGTGACGGTAAATTTTATCGTTTGTACGCATTTTACACGCGATAAAACGGGGTTTTTTCTAAGATACGCGACACCCGACATAAGATCTCCGCGTATACAAACATGCTTAATAATTAGAGAATTTAGAGAAAGAAGATGCTTTAGGTTTCGATTTCACATTTTAGTCAGCGTTACGTGTCGATTTAAAGCGAGAAAATCGCGTCGACATACTTTTGTTTCCCTTTCTAGAAGCTATTTTCGGTGATGAAAGTTACGCACAGACGGAAATAACTCGATAAAAAGTAAAGTAACATTGTATAGAAGCAACAGGCTCGTGTCGTCAGTAGAATAAAAAAGACTCGCTCGCGTTATGGTGCGATCTATGCGTTCTAGAAACGTTACGATATCGATCGAGTAACAAATAGTCTCAAATAACGGAAGATGAAACGTATTTTTTAATGCAGTTTTCAACATGGTGTAACCTTGCATCGTGCGGTTGGTTGATTAACGTAATGGAGGAAAAGTAATATAAAAAAATTCCACTGGTTGCGTAACTGTCAGTTTTACGTTACTCTAAAAAAATGCTCGTTTTCTTTAGATTATCTCACGAGACGAAGACAGTTTCCATTATCTGTGAGGGGCGATGACAAGATGAAAGGAAAAAAAGTGGCATTTCCTTTCCTTTCCCCGGCTTCCTGTCGTTTTTGTTACTATAGTAGCATTCGTAACATCAACTGTATAGAATTAAATCAAGCTCAGTAGGCCCGTAACGAGTATAGATGTATAATTTGTCGCGTTACAGCTGGAGATTAAGTCGAACGTTTAAAAAAGACACTTGTTGATGATACTGATTCACGTTACGTTGGTTATTTATAGAAACCGGACGGTAACTTTAACGAGGAATTAACCATCACTAATTTTAACCTACTGTCAGCTTATAGAGGTCATTAATTCTTAAGAAGAATTTTGCATGGTTACGGTCGGTGAGCCCATGTTCCGGTTCTAATAACTAACTTCTGACATAGAAATGATTCATTTGTGGGGATTCTTGTTGTGTGACGAATGTTACGATAATAAATAACTTGTATATAGATTTTTCTCCTACCTTCTCCAATAAACCGAATTAACGCTTCAATATACAAATTTCGATATTTAGATGGGTAATTAGAAAGTGAAAGTGAAATCCCCGCGTAACGTGTGACGTTTTAGCAAAGTTACGAAGATTTTTTTTACAGATTATTTATAATTTTGGAAAGTTTAGTACGTTGTAGTAACGGAAAATTAAATTTTGTTTAGCTAACGAGACGTGAAGTAACGATCGATTTCAGTTCCGTTACGAGAAAACCTCACGTCGGCAGTTACAAAAATATCAAATGGGAAATTTGATCGTAATTTAGCCTTAATAAATTAACTAAGTTACGTCAGCATATTTACAGTAAGATTAATGTACAACAAGGAACATTGTTTATGTAACTAAGTTCCTGTGTTCTGTGTTACTGTCCTTGCATTTATGAATATTCACGAATGCAGTAACACGACAGATTGCATAGAATATAACCAGTTATAACTATATATTTAACTATCCCGCATACAAATACTGTATCTAAATTTTGATAAGCTTAACATATATAGAATCTGATTTATTTATGACAATTATAAACATTGATAAACCATTAAAGACGGGGCAAGATGACAATTGATTAAATGGCAAGTTCCTGATTTTTTAAATTATTTAATGGCGGAAAGCATCAAGTTGAAAGGATGTAAATAAAGGAAATGATAAATTAACAAATCTATATAAATATTTATTTTAAAAAAATCACCATTTTGTTACGTTCAATTTTACTAGAAACGTAACAAAATTCATAGTATAGATATTATCACGAACCACGGAAGCGGGAGGTCAGTCTAGATGCATAATTATAGGTCAGACAAACGTATTGACTTTGATAGACACAATATAAAGTAAGGTTTTGTATAGAACCAGCTGAACAACTTTTATATATCAGGTCGCGACCGGGTTCAAAATATAATAGGAGATAAAGCTTTAGAACACTTAGGTGGGTCCTTTTACGAATTTCTATTTTTTGACACCAGTTGCAGTTTCTTCGCTTCCTGTTATTGTCAACAGTCTCCGTTTGCATGTAGCTGATAGAATGTGCTATTTAAATGAGCCTGGGAGGGGTGGAAGATGATGATTTAATTAACGGTGCGATGCGTTTGTTGTTATTTCATCAATTGCAAGGACAAACTCATTACATAAGTTCTGTAACGTAATTAACTTTAAACTCCATTAAAATTTTTCGCGATTTTTATCGTTAAAATTCGTCAATTACACGATCTGGCCGCTATGATGATGGACGTGGATTAATGTAATTTCCTTTGCCTGTGACGTAATGATCCGTAACGGACGTTATATTCAATTATCTATTGTAAGATGGAAGCACCAGCGATTCTTCTCTCTTGAGGATTTTCTATACAAGATCAATGGTTAGATCGATGCGATAGCGATTTGCGGTAAGCGGCGTAGTCGCCATGTAATATCGGTAATTTAAATTCCACGTCGGCGATTAGCCAGCTTATACCGTGTTTCCCCGAAAATAAGACAGTGCCTTATATTAATTTTTGCTCTGAAAGATGCGCTAGGTCTTATTTTCGGGGAAACACGGTAGTAATAACGATAGCGACATCGCCATTTAAATAACGCGAATTTAGTCGCTACAAAAATCTCGCGTCGCTTCGGATCGATGCCGAGAAAGCCATGTCGTGATCGGTTTCGTATCCGAAATCGTGACGTTATCATCGAAGGCTTATGCTAGGAAATATGTCGACAAGTGGCGTAAAATATAAAATAAATGAGTCACTTTCGATTTTCTAACAATTAAGTCCAAGGTAAACTAGAGCTAAAATTTTAATTTTGACGCATTCGCTGTTATGACGTTACGAGAGAAACGCTCGCGACGTTTTATGACGAAATGTTCGTATCAGCGTCAGAAGCGAATGAGAGATCGCGCGCGATGCGATCTCGTCGCGTAAAACACGGAACATTTTCTCATCCATTTCGAACGTTCGATTTCGATACAACTTTCGAGTCAACGCACTCATCGACGCCTCTGCGTTAGTTCAGATAGGAAAGTTGCGTGAAATTCTTAGAATAAACAAGGAAATATTTATTGTGTACAGTCGTTGGAGCGTTTACGTCGAAAACCATCAGTTCTGAAATCGTTATCTTGCCATTTCTGTCCTAAATATTTAAGAAGGTGAGCGAGCGATGAAGACGACAGAAGGACACAGAGGAAGTGGTTTGAAACGAATTACTAACAATTAATGTGTCCTCTGCGCGTGATTACTATAGCCTTGAAACTACTAGGTGATGCCACGCTCTTAATTAATGCCTAATATATGACGATACGTTTCTTACATCATTCTATGTCTCTCATCGATAATACTTGCGATTTCACGTTGCTTATCCAACTACCAATCGGCTCTCGGCTTGTTATTCCATATTGAAACGTTATTGGTTAATTAAGAAAATGTTAAATTTAAAAATTTTAATTATTGTAACGTTCTAGAATGTGATTGGTTAAATAAAGAAAAATTTAAACTTTCAAATTTAAATGATTGTTACGTTTCAGGATGCAATTGGTTAACGGAGAATTTCAATTTTAAACGCGATCACATGTATAAATTTCAATTTTTAGAGTGAAAATGGCAGGCGGGGTCGAGGAAATTCGTGAATTTTCTTGTGTATTTCCTGTCCTATTTTTATATTATTTTAGATTCGTGGATTCAGCGCGTTAAGTCACGTTATCTTTTGGTGCGATCGCGTGAACGATGGCTGTAGACGCATCCGGGGAGTATTTAATTTTCTGTACCAGTAGCGGGCACGATAACAATAATTAGGCTATCTCGACAGCATCGTATCTGATTTTTTTCTTTTGGAAAAATTTTAATAATATTTTTTTACCTAGCGCTTGTTCTAAAAAAATCGATGAAATAACGACAATGATTGATGGTTGCCGCCTTGTAATTTTTTATTCCATTATCGAGTTACTTGGACCGGAATGATCGCGCCTAAACCCACTGCAACTGGTAACGAGAAGTGCCACTGCACACAAAAATACTTAAGCTAACCTTGATGGAATAGTTAACGGCGCGTCGCGTCGCTTCAAGCGACGATGCGGTCATAATCATTATCGTTTGTTTTTTCTGTACAATACGGAAAACACTATAATAAATTCATGTTTATTTAAGAACTTAAATAATATTCGTAACGTGATCTGTTAACAAATGGCGTAAGTAACTAGCTTTGTGTAACATCGCACCACGCCTCTACTTAACTGTAATTACCATTTACTCATTTTCCTTAAAAATATTAACGTTTTATAAATTTTACCGACGTAAATGTTGTTTGACTTTACGTCTGAGTTAATAAAATCAATAACTTTTATCAAAGTTATAAAATCACGTTGAAGATAAACCCATTTGCCATTTTGATTACGCGCGCGTTCAACGCGACGCGAAAACGCGCGCCAAACAATAATGGCGATCGTGAACTGATACGGAACGAAAAAGAAATTAAATATTAAAGCTTCCTTTCTCTTGCTAATAATTTTGCTACATAATTTTTATCGTTAATTTCAGCTGTTAGGATGCGGGGTGATAGGATTTATGATGTGGATTCTCGCCACCTCTTCCACAGTTGGGATGTTTTTTACAGGAGCATTGGTTAGTAAAACACCTTTAACACATGACTTAGTGTTTTAAAAGTAAAGAATTATAATGTATAATTTTTATTTTTAGATATTTACATATGTTGTTTTGGGTTTTGGAACTCTTATTTTTATAGGAGGTTAGTTACATAATTTGTTTTAAATTTGAATATTTTATGTACTGATTAATAGAAGTTATGTTATAACAGGTCTTATTGGATGGATAGGATCTTATAGAAAAGGTGGATGTTTGATGAAGTTGGTATGTATAAAAGTATTCTTTTATATTAATAAATTATAGTTTTGGTTAATAATATTTATTTTATATGAATTTTTTTTAGTTTCTTCTTCTATCTGTTCTAACTATTGCCTGTGAAATTGGAGGTATTGTGGCTCTCTACATCATGAATGTAAAGGTAGGATGCTCTTCACTTGTTTGTTTTCTTTAACTTCTAGAAGTAAATTTAATTATTTTGGATTTTTTTTAGTTGGTCAAAGTATTAGGAATTGCTTGGAATGAAGTAAATCAGGATGCTAGAAATGTCCTACAAAGAGAGGTAAATCAAATTTGTGCAGTATGAGTGGAATGCTGATGAGATAACAAAGATAAAATATTGAATTTTATATATTTTTAAAATATAAGTCGACCCCCCTATAACACTGTTGATTATTCCGTTTTATATGAATTCCATGTTGTACGAGTCACTTAGATTTTACAAATATGTGAGCCATTCACAGCCCGGCNAAATTATATATTTTATTTATATTAACTTTTAATTTATATGTAAATTAAAATAAGAAATTTATTTATTTTACTTTATTAATTTGTTAACTTAACTGATTTAGTGCAATGACCTACGACCTTTGACCTATCATATCAGCTAAAGTTTTGGTATTTTGTCAGAACAGCCTTTTACATATCGTTCTATACTTGGCATTATATAATTTAAATGAACTTTGACCTACAGAAGTTTACACTTTTAAACAGTTTAAACATAAAATAAAAAACTTTAATTAACACTCATTAATTCCGAAAAGGGATGCGAACTAACAAATTTGAAAAAGGAAAAAAACATGGCCGGGAGTCGAATTTAAAGATTTACATTCTCATAAATTTTAAATTTTAATTAAATTTTGGTTTTATTGCAATTCTTAAAGGATATAAATGCTGAAATGGTCGCCATTTTGTTACGACGAAACACAGCAATATATGACTTAATTAAATTTCCCATTAATATCATTAAATTTCACATAAACCAATCCAAAATGTAAAGAATTGCACTAATATAAAACGTGCCAAAAAATACAGCACATACAGTATTATGGTATAAGCTTAGAAGAATTATTTTTTGAAGAATAGACAATCTGACAGATAGAATATAAATAAGCATTAAGGTAAATGTAGATATATAATGAGTGTCGGCACATTTTCAAGCATTTAAATTAACATACAAATATAAAGTATAAGTTTTACAAGGATAACATGATGTTGAGTGTCATTAAAATCATCATTCATGCATTATTATAGAAATTAAAATAAATTTTTAAAAATATTTATGCATTTTCTACAAACTTATAATTTGTAAATTGCTGAATAAACAGAAATTCCAAAATCCATGTATAAAATATTCGTGTTAATGTATTTTTGGGGGGATTTTATATAAAGTTTTTGGTGATTATTTAAAAAAAAATTTATCGAAAAATCAGAAAAAATCATTAATAATATTAAAAACGAACTGGACCAAATATTTTATAGTTATTTTCTAGGACCTTGTGGATTTTATCCCCTTGACACTTTATGATCTGTAAGTTCCCTTTGAAATTAGGGGTTGTCCGGATTTTATGATAGCCCACGTTTTCCGCAGGATTCTAGAGAGTAACTGCGAAAAATTTTATCCAGATCGGTCGAAGGGTACAGAAGTATTTGGGTACAGATGGATATTCTACTTTATATATACATAGATAGAGCAAACTAATGCTTTTTAATGTGTAATATATCTGTGTGGCAAATATACCTCTTGTATGTTTAATTTATGATATAATTTAATGCTATGTTAGATTATATTACATAAATATTGCACAGGGTGATTCACACGAAACACTTACTTTGTTCAATATCTCATGATTGCACGGTCATATTTGAATAATATGTAATGTAAAATATATCTTGATCGATTGGTTTGTCATGAAATAAAGAATTTCGAGGTTTCGTGTTCATTTTTTCATTTTATATGCAGATATTCCACATGATCTGTAGCGATTATTGAACAGATCCATGTAGAACTAAAGATTCATACACATAAATGTTGTATCTATACGATAAACTATGCTCTAATATCTAAATATGTGATAGATTTACACTGAGTAAAGCATAGCTCTGGTATGTTATATCCACAGTCGGATTTACTGAAACCAACAAAGTTGCACCCTGAAAAGCCTCACAATATGAGATTACAGCTTAAGTGCTTATGATTTTAAAGCTTTTATTATTTGGTGGAAGAGAACCTTTTTTTTTTTATACTGTAGTTAATTAAGAGCTAGAATGAGTCTAGATTTTATCTATAGTATATGCTAAGCTATATAGTGATTTTATGCCTTATTATGCTTTTTAACATCTAAATAACATAAAAATATGATATTTAGAAATTAAAAAACATGATCATATCAATTGTAGTATGACATAAAATCATAGTATAGCTGATAGAATTACGTTTAGCCGAATATAAAGATTGAGTTATCACCAGTTTTCTTTAATATTTTCTCGTAATTGTGAGACCGAGCCGAGCAAATCGCTTTAAAATTTTATATTTATAATTTAATAGTGCATTTGTAATACATCATCAAATGTACTGNCTCATTTTTTTTAATTATAATTAACTAAAAATTAACTTTATTATCGGTTTCTGGGGTGTTTCTAATTAAATTTCCTTTAATAAATTGGTTAAATGTGTCTATTGTACGGTGCTGCGCTTGGTCGCGTCGCGTCGCGTCGCGTGGGGGTGATTGTATGAAGTGTAAATAATTTATATATATATATATTTTTAAACAGATAACACAAATGAAATTTCTACAGAACGTTGAACCTTTTTAAAAAGTATACGTAACAGTGCTATAATAAATTTTATTATATTAAAATACATAAATTAATACGCTTCTGTAACAAAAATCAGGAAAATTGATCAAATTCGAAGAAGGAATTTCTTAACCAAACATACATAAAATTCATAAAAGAATATATAATTATCTTCCTGATTTATTATAATCAATTGGTCTACCAGACAGTATCATTATAGCTCTAACGTAATTAAAGATAATTTGAAAATTATCTCTGAATACATTGACTATAAAGAAGAAGATTTCCTTTGTAACCCGATTGAAACGTTCGTGTTGTTTATTTTTTCTCATATTTACTTTATACTTATTTCATAGAGAAATAAATATAAAATTCTACATTTATTATCCTTTATATTAATTTTTAAAAATTATTTTAACATTATTAATTTCCTATTTGTTCGGGAAAATTATAAATATTTACTTATAGGCCTATATATTTATACTAATTTGGGAAATTTATAGATATTTGCGAAAGAATATGACTTTAGTTCATATTTTTAACACTAGGGGAAATTTGGCGCTGTTTCTTTAGGGCAGTCACTCTGCTGATTAACCAGAATTTGCCTAATTTTAACTTAATGATTTTTCTTACTTGGGGTATGTTGTTTTGATTTTGTAGTATATTTAACACAGTTTTAAATATAGCGCAGTCGACACGCTCTGGTAACATGAATAATATGAAATTTGTGTTTCTCTACGTCCCCTATTCTATAAGAGAGCTACGTGAAAGGAATAAGAGCGTAGCCCCTCTGAGCGAGATTCGATTCTAGACCCTCTCGATGGAAGCACACAAGCTTCCATACTGCCACTCCAAATGGAAATATTACGAAATTGCTTAGCCCGGTAAATTGCAGCGCCGCACTTACACTGGTGTTAAAAATATGGACTAATAATTACCGTATATATCATTCTCTTTCGCATATACCCTTTCAATTTTGGTGCTTCAACCTTCACCTTGAAAAACTTCGGGATCGTCTCGCATTTTCGAATATTTAAATACGAATTTTAGAAAATTAAATCACTTTCTCGCATAAATATAATTAAATAAATATTTTTTAAAGGCATAAATTAAGAATATAAAAATATATTTTATAAATATATCGAAATAAAAGCGCACACGAAAGAACATTTCTTAAATGTTCCCAATTGGAAGACCCAAAAGCTGTTATCGTATGGTGCAACTGATTATTTGTGCAATAATTATTTAATTAATTAATCCCTAATATCTCTCCTGGATTACATATATGTGCAATATTGCATTTCTGTAATGATTTTTCTTATTGCAATAGTGCAATACCTCGATAAGCAGCTGACTATATTTGGAAGACATACAATATTGACTAGATATATAAAACTGGAATATGTATATATATATATATCATATATATATATATGCAATTATTTTAGTTTATAACATTCGTTTAATCTTTTAATAACGAACAGGGTGTAAATATATCATTTTTTAGAGCGCACATCAATAAAATAACGCGAATACTGGACCTATATCAGATAATGAATACACGTATGCCTTAATTTGGCACTGTACTGGAAGACATCTTGTTTTTTAGTTAAAATTTTAACAATGCTGCTGAATCTGATTGTTGGGTTTATCACAGAATAAATACATTTATACTCCGCTCAATTATAAGTTTGACCTGACCGCTAAAGGGCTAAGTCAGTTATATTTTTTTCCGTTGAAAAGTAATGGAAAATTAATTATGATTTTAAAAAATCAATTAGAATTCGAAGATAATCATTTTGAGTTTGTTTCGTGTGCTTTTTAATGATTGGCCCTCTTGTGACTAGGTCAAACTTAGGCTGCATGGATTATAGATACAATGTTACAGCTTATTATATGGAAGACTTTTAGCATAAAGTGGAAAATAATGCGAGAAATATAATCTACCAATGTACGATAAAGCTAATATAGCTTAAAAATATTTCTTTAAATCAAAAATTATAGCCCTATTCGTAAAATACCCGTTACTATATATATATGTGTGTATATATACTGTTGTTTAACAGTAAACATTCGAATATTAAATAAGTAACAATTACTCCAGATATCAAATTCAGCAACTTTGGATATATCTAAGGAAGACGTAGATGTAGGCACCAGGCGATACCTTGATATGATTAAAAAGTGACTGAAGATCTTGGAAGACATACTTGGCATTGGGAATAATTGAATAAAATTTTTTGTTTGGAAGATTTCTATGTTATTCTTGATGTTTTCATCCTGGCTACTTGTTACCATTCGTCTTATAAAGAATTCTCCTCACCAGCTACTTACTAACACGGGTAAACGACAAGAAATGAAGTTACTACGTTACATTATTTGCGTTCAGACTGGTTGTTGGGGTACATACGGTAATGGAATGTGATATGCATCCACCAAGGCTGAAGCTGAATAATAGATACCAATCACACCACAGAAACAACCAATACAAATTATAAAAATTTCCCAACTTATATTATACCAATTCATTGTATCCCACTTTAACTTCATGTGGAAGTAACAGGGCCAGACAAAGGATAACATGGTTCCGGTGCAACTGCCGATTAGACCCATCAACAAAGCGAAATGGGGGATGCTTATAGCCATTAACATTGTCGCAATAACAAGTAACAGTCTTAACGTCACTGCCCAAATCCGTAATTCGCCATCTTTTGCGATACACACTGGAAATTTGGTGTATGGAGGACCTTTGAAGAAGGCCGATTCCAATAATCCAACGGCTGCATAATAGGGTAACGGGTAAGAGAACAACGCCTTAATAACGAGGGTAAGATTGACAATTAACTTGAAGCCTTTAGTAGGTAGGTTGTTAGTGATGACTTCTTGTGTCTGATCTCCCCAAGTGAGAAAGGCTACCCAAGCAAATCCGGCTTTAAATAAGGCGGCAGCAATATGACTCCAGTTCAACATACAATGGAATTTAGAACGATCTGTCAGATTTCCTTCTAGTGTAGGCAAAAATATCTGCGAAGTGTAACTGAATACGACAATTCCCAAGGTTACTGGAAACATACGGATGTTAATTCTGAACTGCACTTTGCTCCATACCCATTCTGGTGCCTTATAGAAGCAGTAACCGAGGACGGCCACGTTAATCAACAGATGAGCCATAGTGCACCAGAAACTCAGCCATGAAACCGCCGTTAAATTGCGGAGAAAAGCGCATGGCAGTAAAAACATGGTAGAGATCATCATCCAGGATCGTTGATCTATTGGACCTTCTGGGAAACTGCCGATCATTAGATCGCCACAGAGCACGACATACAATATACACGTCATAAGCAGCTCTATGATCTGAGCACAATTAACCATTTTGCCGCCCCATCTGTCACCTAAGCAAGTCCGTGCAATACTGACATAACTGTCTCGTACACGTACCAGTTCTCCTTTCTCGTTTGGCTCGTAGAGGCAGGCGACGAGGATTTTTCCTGTGTGACAACAGATATAGGCAACAAAGAGGAGTGAGAAGATACCCCAATAGCCTCCATGGAGTACTCCATACGGTAGGCTGACGATAAACATTCCCTGTAAAGAAAACATTTTTTTAATTACAGATCTTTAATGTTTAATCCAATTTTTATTATAAATTCAAATTGATAACTTTACAACTTGTCAAGTGTCGTATACACGTAATTTTAAGTAATTATTTAATCACATTTAAGCAAAATTTTGTCTCCCTTCTTGCGAATGCAATAACAATCAACTACAAAGAGAAGAATTGGCGCGAGTGCTCTACGATTCTGGACTCTTCTGATGGGAACACGTCACATTTTCATAACACCATCAAGCTTACAACGAAAAGGAACTACAATGGTCCAAACCATTGTAGTTCCTCTTACTTCTGTGACTTAGAGGTGACTGTATAATAAAGCAAATTTTTTACATCTATATGAAGAGTTTTGAATCACCCTGTGTAATAAATCTTGCTGCCATACAATAAACTAACTATTCATTCATATTTATATAACTGACATAAATAATACTATGTTAAGTGTATAGATGATAATTTGCGAGAATATACCGGTACCATTTATCATACAGTATCCTGAATCTACGAGAATATAAGAATATGCTATGTGTAATGACTATCATGGATAAGCTCATGCTTGATTGAATTCATGATGGACACGAAAATGGCAGTGGTATAAATGTGATACATACGATGGCCACCTAGAAGTGCCCTATATATCAACTAGTGTTTCAATATCACCTAGAGGTGCCCACCAAAACCACTGAGCACTGGTCTGGGTTCGCACCTCACCAACGGGCTGGTCGCGTGCAGGGTTTTTAGGGTTTCTTTACGTGTCTAACACCTAGATAGGGGTCAGTTTTCCGTAGAAAGTTCTCGGAAGCACCGCTTCCTGGCAGATCGTCCATATGCTACATTGCCACATCCGATCAATCCAACCCATAAGACTAAGTTTATTTACAGCATAAATAATGGCATAATTATATTTATGCATTTTAAAATAATATTTTTACCTTTGAAAGAGTATATTGATGCTAAGTTTTTCACGTGAAATCTCTGAATGGTCAGACGTGTGGCATGAATTCATTTAAATATGTTGTCCGCACGAGAGAGGAGATATGTAAAAATTTTTTCAGGTTATGATAGGGAGGGATGTTAATAGAGAATGATGATGGTGGATTTCATTCTGCTTTCTATTGGCAACAAAAACAACAAGCTCCCAATCATTGAAATGACCCTCAACTTCCTTAACTGCCATTTTAGCATCTCTCTCAACTGGGTCAGGGGCCACTCTGGCACTACTGGTAACGAGCGAGCAGACTTGCTCGTTAAAAAGGCACCCACCATCGCCTCCAGCTGCTCTTACGCAGTCATCCTTCCTAGCTGGATCACTTACCAGCTCAATCTTCACGCCGTCTCTGAGTGGCAAAACCGCTGGAATGCCGAGAACACAGGCCACAGTACTCATAAATTCTTCCCAGACATTTCTGCCAGACAGAAAATGGACTACCTAGTAACCTGCCACAACGTCACACAACTGCTTACTAGCCACGGAAACTTTGGTACCTACCTCCTGCTGTTCCTGAACAAGGAAATGGCAAATGTGACTGCGACCTCAAGGAGGATGACAACCCTCAGCATGTTATCTTCTTATGCCCTAAGTTCAGGAACGAACGCAGCGACTTGTGGACACTTTAACCAGTGAAGGCCATCATTGACCCTGCCTGCCCATGAGCAACAGCACCATTTTCAACGCGTTCACTGCCTCTGCAAAGGCAATGGACCTCTCCTGCTATGGCTAGCGTCTTCATCCACCAGCAACCACCACCTTTTTTGTATTCTTAATGTCCAACTCACCGCTTACAGTAGCTTTTCTCAACGTCCTGTAACTCTCATTGTTATCATTTGCAATTTTCTATGTATTTTTGTTTATCTGCAGTCACCCTTGCCTGTATCTTCACACCAAACTTTTGTCGCGATGTGTGTTCATGTACGCGAATTTAGTAATGTATACTATTGTAAATCACTTAAATAATTGTAATTTTCGCAATTCTGTATCCTGTAATCATTCATGTACATTACAAACATCCATCCTTGTATACTTCTGTACAATGACAATAGGAAGCAAACGTATTACTGTTTGCTTCCTATTGTCATTGTGAAACTGTATACTGTATGTTGTTTTTACACTACTAATGGTTCCCAACCCTCTCAACCACTTCTTCCTTTCATTTCCCCTCGATCTATATACTTCTACTCTTACCCATTCTATTTTCACCCTTTCACCCTGTCTGTTTTATGGTTCGGTCGCTACTACTTTTCTAAATGTAAATGTAAAATGTTTTCTATTGGCCTATTATTAAAATTAGCTTTGCCATAGCATGAAATGTGAATAAATTAATGTACTGTAGATCTGTTTTATAGAAATGCATGATTTTAATATAGGAGTGGCAGATCAAGCGTGACATCAGCATGGGGTAGTTAAACAAAATAGCATGGGGTAGTTAAACAAAATATGCAGTCAAAAAGGACTAAAAACTGGTGACATCGTATTTTAACGACCCCCGTGAGCCATTTGTAACCCCATTGCAGCTGGAGTGCTACGACCACCATTTCTACTATTGCATTGTTACTATATAGGCTATATCTGGAACGTAAATTTAAATATTTATGTTAGCTAGTTCTGAATTAATTAAACTATTACAAAAAGGCGTACAGAATTAGAAATATATAAAATTTTTACAATTTAATAATTTGGAGGTTTCAATCTTAATTAATATATACAGAAATAATGCTCGTACTCGCGTGTAGAAAAAAACCAATTAAAGCCCACCTAAAGAAAGAAGCAATGACCCAAACAAAATATTTAGTCGAGTAGGAACTGAACCCACGTCTATATTTGAATACGGAATTCCTGCCTGGAGTCAAATCTATTTCTCTATGACGTTTTTAAAATATTCAAATCTAATTCTATTCAAAGCCATTATAAATATCATCCGAGAGAGAATGAACAGTCACAGCAACTAGATTAATTTTAATTAAAAGATTACATACTGAAATAAAATATATTTCGAGTATATAGTGCCATCTGTCGACGTAAGAAGATTAAAATAAATTTGTGATACACATGCTACTATAAATACAATGGTACACGAGTGCACCATTGGGCCATATCATAATGTCTTAATACTGCTCAATGGCTCTTTAGTAGGCCATTAAATTGTATTTTATACCTAAACTAATCAACAATTTTTTTGACAGCCAAAATCAAGGTTTAAAGTTCAAGAATATGTTCTTCTCGAGTTAAATGTACGTGATACAAATACGTAATTTATTACAAATTTTGATAAACTGGAGGGAGGGAGGGAATATTAAAATATTTACGAAACATACTTTGAAAGTTTTGTAACGTCACACGGAATAATTTAAGTGTCGTTTTTAAATTTTAATTAGAAAGTGAGTACGTTTAACTCCCCTTTCGGTCATAAAGTGGGATGAATTTGGGTGTTTCACTCCACCTTAACTCCAACACGATGTTCTTTCGACCTTGCGGAAGAAAATGCAGAAATGGACATTGCCTAAATGTTAATGGGTGTTATATAATACACATAATACAATTAAATGCCCTAAAGATCATTGTTCAAACCGAATTTTCGATACGTCATTTAAAATTATCATACAATTATTATTGTTAATTAAATGGGAATTGTGTGTTTCCCATTTGAATCTCGTCACATTTTAATGTATTCTTCTATCGTGACGTAGAATATATGTAATTAATCATTGTTTACAAAGAAATAGCAGCTAATTCCTCCATTGTTAGTGAACTTAATTATAATAATTAACTTCCAAGAAGACATGCAAATTATTACTGTACTTAGAAGCAATAATTGAATAATTTAGTGCGACAGAAAATCTTTAAACATCACGGTATTTATTTTGTGAAATTACGAAATATCAATTATATAGATTTAATTAAAAACAATAAAAAATTTCGTGAAATTCTTGATGTAATTTATTGTATTTTTCGCAAGGTTCTTGCGTGCTTTACGTCATTTCCGACGTTTAGTTTATTTATTCTATTGATTTACTTTAATTTATTTTAGTTAGATTATAGCGTGGGATGTTCTTGCAGTAAATAATTATATTAATAGCATAGTATTGATCTGTAACTAACAGCGCGCTGCGACGCGTCGGTGATGCTTACGAGCACTGTACTTCTTTCTTCCTACTTCTTTCCGATAATGTATTGTATTATATATTTTCTCAATCATTATTGAGTACATCTAAACTGTTAACATTTCTTCATACATCGTGGGATAGAATACAACGCTTGGATAGATACAACGCGCCGCGACGCGTCGGCGTTGCGCTCAACCAAAGAAACAAAAAATTCTCGCCGATTTTCGTTTATAAGTTTGAAATTAAGCTTTTATATGCGTAATTGGCTACACTCTTTAACTCCATAATTAAAATTTTCACGTCTCTATAGGAATTAAGAAGTTATAGAGCTCTTGACCCCGAAAACTAGATCAAGATCATCGGAGAGGTCATTATTATATCTGGCATTATCAATTCGTTATACAGAATTATTCGCGTTTCTGAAGATGAAGAAAAAATTTCACTTTCTTTCGTTAAATTAAATTACTCAAATCTTTAAAAATGGCGATTTTCTTTGCTTGAAGAGCGGCCGTTTTCGATCTTATTCGAATTACTAAANGAATTCCATGTTGTACGAGTCACTTAGATTTTACAAATATGTGAGCCATTCACAGCCTGGCACACGTATTTGTAAAATCTAAGTGACTCGTACAACATGGAATTCATATAAAACGGAATAATCAATAGGGGGTCGACTGTATTATTTAAGTAATTTGTGGAAAATGCGATCAGTATAGCGATCAATACATTAACAAAGGAAAATCGCTAATAGATATATTATATATTATTTACTATTTAGTTCGCATGCTGCGGATTTCTAGGACCCGAAGATTATTCACCGGAATCGACTCCCATTGATAAAAGTTGTTATAAACCTATAATGAAGGAAGAAGACATCTTAGAAGAACCGGAATTATATAAGGTACTTAAAATTCTAATTTAAAACAATATAAACAAAGAAAAAATACATAAAATTGGCCGTTTTACACACTAAAAAATCATCTTGTGTTCTTCAGGAGGGATGCAGAGACAAGATGATGGATTGGATGTCTAAAAATAAAACAATCTGGGTAGCGTGTTTAGGATCGATATTAGCAGTTCAAGTGAGTTGTTTACATGAATTCTGACGAATTCATATAGTAAATTAATTGTTAAACAATTTTTAAAATGAATATTTTAGGTTGTTTGCGTGCTTCTAACCGTCTACGTTGTCAGTCATAGCAAAAGAGAACGGAGAAGTTCCATCAATTCTCTTGATACCAGTCATTCCCATACATATCTTTAAACTGTAAATAATTAAATTCCAGATTTCCTGATCCAAATATAAGTATCTAAATAATTTATATAAATATATTTTTGTTGATTTTAACGTTTTATAAAACCTATTACGGGTTATTTTAGTGCTGAAATTGCTGTTTAACTATAAAAAAATGGCTTGACTGTAGGCAATTTGTATATATATATAGAACATGTTTGAGATGTAAATATTACTGGTATGACTTTAATTTTGTTTAATTTTCTAAAAAACAACATGTATATTTATCAGCATGCCAGCTTGTGTATTGTATCTGCGACGTTCTCGTTCATGTGCCTTTTGAATGTGGTACAAATTCTTAAAAAATTCTGATTTTTTTAAAATTTTACTGTCCAATTTTTTATCTACATATATATATATATAACTCTATATTTCGAAAAAATTATCTATTTTTGGACTGTAATTTCATATTTTTAACTCGATCTGTGTTAATATTCTATGTTATATACAAACTTGAATTAAAAAAAGGTGTAACTTGTGTCGTTATGGTGCTTTAAAAGTCTGTACGTAACGCTTTACAACGGAACGGCTTTATTTATTTTTTTTAATTGATTAATAGTTCTGGTTGGGGAGGTCGTGTGACAAATTACGAACTGCCCAACACGTCCTTCTCTCTCGCTCTCTCTCTCCCGTGTATCTATTGATGTTAACGAAATTTGTCCCACGGTTATTTGAAAAGGTTTCTGAGAACTTAACACTTTGATAATTGAGAAAAATGAGTGTATAGATAAATGGTTTCTTAACCCCTTTATAGTTAAAAGAAAAAAATTATAAATTTAATTTATAGGCTTATAAAAAATTACTTAAAAAATTATACTCATGACCAGAAGACAATACGAAGTACACCGCCTTTTTTACATAACAGGAACAATAATTTGTCTTCAGATTCGTTGTTTTAACAAAAACTTTAATCTTTATATTCGTCTGTTTCACTTCATAAGAACACAAAACTATTGTTATAACTCCCTGTGTTAGTGTTTATTCTCATTCCGTATTCTTGTGTTATAGGTGTATTCTGATTCTTATATCTCTGTGTGACAAATCTAAAGACTCTATACTTTGTGTTGTCTTTTGTTTAAGTTTAATTTAAACAAAAATTAAACTCGTGCAAGTGAATGCAAATAAAAGGAGGAGACGAGACAGATTTTGATTTACCTTTTCATGTTTTATTGCTGGATTTATGAACAACAGACATCCGCTACACCAGCCAACAACATCTAGAATAAGGCGTTTCTCAATACATTACTTGCTCAATGAACTGGACATAGAAACCTTTCGGTTTTACATATTTTTTATTTTTATTTATTTTTTGTTTTTTTTAATCATGTGACACCAAACGTGTCGTTTGGAAGACTTAAATTTCACATATAATACTGCTTATTCTTTGAATTTGTTTTACTACAAACACATAAAACATGGTTAACATCGATTGCTGAACGTGCATAGATCGAACCAGAAGAACAAAACAAGAAAAAAAGTACAAATGTGGTTCGATCTCTCATTGATTTATGTACACAGTACCTTTACGAAAGACACCGCTTCATTGAAGTTACATAGCTATACATACATATGGAAGACCTTTTAAATTGCTAATTATCTATCTATTTACGTACCTACTGGAATTTGAATATATCCAAAATGAACATAAACACGTTCAATGGTTCAACGAACCAAAACAAAACAAATTTTTGACATGTTTACAATTGCCAAGTTAATGAACAGAAACGACGTTAGGCAAAGAAGTCGTTAACTTCTTCGTTCACACTCGTAAAATTCTCATTTTTTTTAATTATAATTAACTAAAAATTAACTTTATTATCGGTTTCTGGGGTGTTTCTAATTAAATTTCCTTTAATAAATTGGTTAAATGTGTCTATTGTACGGTGCTGCGCTTGGTCGCGTCGCGTCGCGTCGCGTGGGGGTGATTGTATGAAGTGTAAATAATTTATATATATATATATTTTTAAACAGATAACACAAATGAAATTTCTACAGAACGTTGAACCTTTTTAAAAAGTATACGTAACAGTGCTATAATAAATTTTATTATATTAAAATACATAAATTAATACGCTTCTGTAACAAAAATCAGGAAAATTGATCAAATTCGAAGAAGGAATTTCTTAACCAAACATACATAAAATTCATAAAAGAATATATAATTATCTTCCTGATTTATTATAATCAATTGGTCTACCAAACAGTATCATTATAGCTCTAACGTAATTAAAGATAATTTGAAAATTATCTCTGAATACATTGACTATAAAGAAGAAGATTTCCTTTGTAACCCGATTGAAACGTTCGTGTTGTTTATTTTTTCTCATATTTACTTTATACTTATTTCATAGAGAAATAAATATAAAATTCTACATTTATTATCCTTTATATTAATTTTTAAAAATTATTTTAACATTATTAATTTCCTATTTGTTCGGGAAAATTATAAATATTTACTTATAGGCCTATATATTTATACTAATTTGGGAAATTTATAGATATTTGCGAAAGAATATGACTTTAGTTCATATTTTTAACACTAGGGGAAATTTGGCGCTGTTTCTTTAGGGCAGTCACTCTGCTGATTAACCAGAATTTGCCTAATTTTAACTTAATGATTTTTCTTACTTGGGGTATGTTGTTTTGATTTTGTAGTATATTTAACACAGTTTTAAATATAGCGCAGTCGACACGCTCTGGTAACATGAATAATATGAAATTTGTGTTTCTCTACGTCCCCTATTCTATAAGAGAGCTACGTGAAAGGAATAAGAGCGTAGCCCCTCTGAGCGAGATTCGATTCTAGACCCTCTCGATGGAAGCACACAAGCTTCCATACTGCCACTCCAAATGGAAATATTACGAAATTGCTTAGCCCGGTAAATTGCAGCGCCGCACTTACACTGGTGTTAAAAATATGGACTAATAATTACCGTATATATCATTCTCTTTCGCATATACCCTTTCAATTTTGGTGCTTCAACCTTCACCTTGAAAAACTGCGGGATCGTCTCGCATTTTCGAATATTTAAATACGAATTTTAGAAAATTAAATCACTTTCTCGCATAAATATAATTAAATAAATATTTTTTAAAGGCATAAATTAAGAATATAAAAATATATTTTATAAATATATCGAAATAAAAGCGCACACGAAAGAACATTTCTTAAATGTTCCCAATTGGAAGACCCAAAAGCTGTTATCGTATGGTGCAACTGATTATTTGTGCAATAATTATTTAATTAATTAATCCCTAATATCTCTCCTGGATTACATATATGTGCAATATTGCATTTCTGTAATGATTTTTCTTATTGCAATAGTGCAATACCTCGATAAGCAGCTGACTATATTTGGAAGACATACAATATTGACTAGATATATAAAACTGGAATATGTATATATATATATATATCATATATATATATATGCAATTATTTTAGTTTATAACATTCGTTTAATCTTTTAATAACGAACAGGGTGTAAATATATCATTTTTTAGAGCGCACATCAATAAAATAACGCGAATACTGGACCTATATCAGATAATGAATACACGTATGCCTTAATTTGGCACTGTACTGGAAGACATCTTGTTTTTTAGTTAAAATTTTAACAATGCTGCTGAATCTGATTGTTGGGTTTATCACAGAATAAATACATTTATACTCCGCTCAATTATAAGTTTGACCTGACCGCTAAAGGGCTAAGTCAGTTATATTTTTTTCCGTTGAAAAGTAATGGAAAATTAATTATGATTTTAAAAAATCAATTAGAATTCGAAGATAATCATTTTGAGTTTGTTTCGTGTGCTTTTTAATGATTGGCCCTCTTGTGACTAGGTCAAACTTAGGCTGCATGGATTATAGATACAATGTTACAGCTTATTATATGGAAGACTTTTAGCATAAAGTGGAAAATAATGCGAGAAATATAATCTACCAATGTACGATAAAGCTAATATAGCTTAAAAATATTTCTTTAAATCAAAAATTATAGCCCTATTCGTAAAATACCCGTTACTATATATATATGTGTGTATATATACTGTTGTTTAACAGTAAACATTCGAATATTAAATAAGTAACAATTACTCCAGATATCAAATTCAGCAACTTTGGATATATCTAAGGAAGACGTAGATGTAGGCACCAGGCGATACCTTGATATGATTAAAAAGTGACTGAAGATCTTGGAAGACATACTTGGCATTGGGAATAATTGAATAAAATTTTTTGTTTGGAAGATTTCTATGTTATTCTTGATGTTTTCATCCTGGCTACTTGTTACCATTCGTCTTATAAAGAATTCTCCTCACCAGCTACTTACTAACACGGGTAAACGACAAGAAATGAAGTTACTACGTTACATTATTTGCGTTCAGACTGGTTGTTGGGGTACATACGGTAATGGAATGTGATATGCATCCACCAAGGCTGAAGCTGAATAATAGATACCAATCACACCACAGAAACAACCAATACAAATTATAAAAATTTCCCAACTTATATTATACCAATTCATTGTATCCCACTTTAACTTCATGTGGAAGTAACAGGGCCAGACAAAGGATAACATGGTTCCGGTGCAACTGCCGATTAGACCCATCAACAAAGCGAAATGGGGGATGCTTATAGCCATTAACATTGTCGCAATAACAAGTAACAGTCTTAACGTCACTGCCCAAATCCGTAATTCGCCATCTTTTGCGATACACACTGGAAATTTGGTGTATGGAGGACCTTTGAAGAAGGCCGATTCCAATAATCCAACGGCTGCATAATAGGGTAACGGGTAAGAGAACAACGCCTTAATAACGAGGGTAAGATTGACAATTAACTTGAAGCCTTTAGTAGGTAGGTTGTTAGTGATGACTTCTTGTGTCTGATCTCCCCAAGTGAGAAAGGCTACCCAAGCAAATCCGGCTTTAAATAAGGCGGCAGCAATATGACTCCAGTTCAACATACAATGGAATTTAGAACGATCTGTCAGATTTCCTTCTAGTGTAGGCAAAAATATCTGCGAAGTGTAACTGAATACGACAATTCCCAAGGTTACTGGAAACATACGGATGTTAATTCTGAACTGCACTTTGCTCCATACCCATTCTGGTGCCTTATAGAAGCAGTAACCGAGGACGGCCACGTTAATCAACAGATGAGCCATAGTGCACCAGAAACTCAGCCATGAAACCGCCGTTAAATTGCGGAGAAAAGCGCATGGCAGTAAAAACATGGTAGAGATCATCATCCAGGATCGTTGATCTATTGGACCTTCTGGGAAACTGCCGATCATTAGATCGCCACAGAGCACGACATACAATATACACGTCATAAGCAGCTCTATGATCTGAGCACAATTAACCATTTTGCCGCCCCATCTGTCACCTAAGCAAGTCCGTGCAATACTGACATAACTGTCTCGTACACGTACCAGTTCTCCTTTCTCGTTTGGCTCGTAGAGGCAGGCGACGAGGATTT